AAAACACCTCGTCTGAGCAGTTTTCTTCAAAGTATTAGCAGGCAGTTGTGTTATGTAGTTATCCTAGGTAAATGGTTGTGTGTCATCATTCCTTCCTTCCTAATTTCCTTCATTCTTTTCCTACCTGGAGGGCATTCCACCTCTCTTCCTACATTCCTTCATCTGTCCTTCCTTACTTTTTTCCTTCCTTTCATCTAGTCCTTCCTTCATTCCTGCCTTCCCTTCTTGCTTCTTGTTTCTATAATATATATACACTATATATAGTCACTAGATACTTTCATAAAACTGCTATTATCACCATTCAGCAAGCTTGTCTTGGGTGCCAGTGTGTGGCTTATAATTGTTTTGAGTCAGGAGTGGGCAGCTGTCAAAATGACATATTGTCTCATTACTCACTCCCCCTACCGCCTGTCAAAACAATGGGGTCAGATGCTGTTTCCCCTCCATTCTATCTAATTATCTTTCTCCCTCATTCTATCTCTTTCAATCTGTCTCTCTTTCTCTGTCTATCTCTGTCTCACAGGTACACAAATACAAGTATACATATTGTAAATTACCTAGGATAACGCAAAAAATCCAGACAGTGCTATACTCTGCTTGAAGATGTGAGTAAACGTGATGATGACAGTTTTGTGGCTCTCTGAGACAGAGCTAGACGGATAGACAGGGAGCTTGGCAGACAGACAAATGTTTGTTCCTCCTCCTCCTCTCCCCTTCCTCCTCCTCTCCCCTTCCTCCTCTTCTCCCCTTCCTTCCTCCTCCTCTCCTCTCCCCTTCCTTCCTCCTCCTCTCCTCTCCCCTTCCTTCCTCCTCCTCCTCCTCCCTTCCTTCCTTCCTTCCTCCTCCTCCTCCTCCTCTCCCCTTTCTTCCTTCCTCCTCCTCTCCCCTTTCTTCCTTCCTCCTCCTCTCCCCTTCCCTTCCTCCTCCTCCTCCTCCTCCTCTCCCCTCCTTCCTCCTCCTCCTCTCCCCTTCCTTCCTCCTCCTCCTCTCCCCTTCCTTCCTCCTCCTCCTCCTCCTCTCCCCTTCCTTCCTTCCTCCTCCTCCTCCTCTCCCCTTCCTTCCTTCCTCCTCCTCCTCTCCCCTTCCTTCCTTCCTCCTCCTCCTCTCCCCTTCCTTCCTTCCTCCCTTCCTCCTCCTCTCCCCTTCCTTCCTTCCTCCTCCTCTCCCCCTTCCTTCCTCCTCCTCCTCCTCCCCTTCCTTCCTTCCTCCTCCTCCTCCTCCTCCTCCTCCTCCTCCCCTTCCTCCTCCTCCTCTCCCCTTCCTTCCTCCTCCTCCTCTCCCCTTCCTTCCTCCTCCTCTCCCCTTCCTTCCTCCTCCTCTCCCCTTCCTTCCTCCTCCTCCTCCTCCTCTCCCCTTCCTTCCTCCTCCCCTCCTCCTCTCCCCTTCCTTCCTCCTCCTCCTCCTCTCCCCCCTTCCTTCTCCTCCCTCCCTTCCTTCCTCCTCCCTCCTCTCCCCTTCCTTCCTCCTCCCTCTCCCCTTCCTTCCTCCTTCCTCCTCCTCCCCCTCCTTCCCCCCCCCCTTCCTTCCTCCTCCTCCTCTCCCCTTCCTTCCCCTCTCTCTCCCCCCCTCCTCCTCCTCCTGCCCTCTCCCCTTCCTTCCTCCTCCCTCCTCCCCCTTCCTTCCTCCTCCTCCCCTTCCTCTCCCCTCCTCCTCCTCCTCCTCTCCCCTTCCCTCCTCCTCTCCTCCCTCCCCTTCCCTCCTCCTCCTCCTCCTCTCCCCTTCCCTTCCTTCCTCCTCCTCCTCTCCCCTTCCCTTCCTTCCTCCTCCTCCTCTCCCCTTCCCTCCCTTCCTTCCCCCTCCTCCTCCCCCTTCCTTCCTCCTCCTCCTCCTCTCCCCTTCCCCTTCCTTCCTCCTCCTCCTCCTCTCCCCTTCCCTTCCTTCCTCCTCCTCCTCTCCCCTTCCCTTCCTTCCTCCTCCTCCTCCTCTCCCCTTCCCTTCCTTCCTCCTCCTCTCCCCTCCCTTCCTTCTCTCCTCCTCCCTCCCTTCCTTCCTTCCTCTTCCTCCTCCTTCTCCTTCCTTTCTTCTCCTCCTCCTCCTCCTCTCCTTCCCTCTCCTCCCTCCTTTCTCCTCCTTCCTTCCTTCCTTCCTCCTCCCTCCTTCCTTCCTCCTCCTTCCTCCTCCCCCTCCCTCTTGATCCCTCCTTCCTTCTCCCCTCCTCCCGCCTCCCTCCTCCGCCTCCCTCCTCCCCTCCTCCCTCCTCCTCCCCCCCTCCTCCTCCTCCTCCTCCTCCTCCTTCCTCCTCCTTCCTCCTCCTCCTCCTTCCTCCCCTTCCTCCTCCTCCTCCTTCCTCCTCCTCCTTCCTCCTCCCTCCTCCTCCTCCTTCCTCCTCCTCCTCCTCCTTCCTCCTCCTCCTCCTTCCTCCTCCTCCATTTCTTTTGGTCTCAAACTCCTCCAAATCATGAAATTGATCTTCACTGACACTTCCATCTGTGTTAGAGCATCACTTGGGAAGAGAAGAGTCCCAGATTTGCTGGGGAGTCACACATTTCTTACCGCTAGACATGCTGAAAAAGGACAACTGAAACGGCATTCCCACAATGCACCACTGGTTCCCCAATTTTTTTTATATGGTGCACACTGGCCATGGAGACCCATTCTCTCACATGTGGGCCTACCAGCTTTCTCCTGCTTGATTTGAAGCCGCTAGAATTTATGCGTATAGATACGTCAAACACGGTATCTCCTATGACGTATATATACGACCGTGACAGTCAAGGGGTTAATTGTGATGAAACAGGCCTGTTCTGGAAAAAAATGCCAAACTGGACCTACATTACTCAGGAGGAAAAGGCACTCCCAGGACACAAGCCTATGAAAGACAAGCTAACACTCATGTTTTGTTGTAATGCTAGTGGAGATTGCAAAGTGAAGCCTTTACTAGTGTATCACTGAAAATACCAGAGTTTTCAAGAAAAACTGTCGCATCATTCATCAATAAGTCTTTAATAAAGGTAAATGTCACTATATTATTTATTTATTCTGCATATCTCATTGCTTTCTGTGTAGGGAAATGTATATTTCATGTAAAACAATTATTTTGTTTAATACTTTTGGGTGTCTGGAACGGATTAAGTGGATTTCCATTATTTCTTATGGGGAAAATTAATTTGGATTACGACAGATTCGGTATAAGACACACACTGGAACGGATTAATGTTGTAATCCAGGGGGTCCACTGTACATGTTTGGTTAGGCCTCATTTAGATTATGCTGCACAGTTTTGGTCACCGTATTACAGAATGGACATAAATGTACTGGAAAACGTACAGAGGAGGATGACAAAGTTGATCCTATGTATCAGAAATCTTTAAGGACAGACTGAGGGCCCTGAATCTGCACTCTCTAGAAAGGTGCAGAATTAGAGGGGATATGATTGAGGTGTATAAATGGAAAACAGGAATTAATAAAGGGGATGTAAATAACATGCTAAAAATATCTAGCATAGACAGGACTCGCAGCAATGGTTTTAAGCTGGAAAAATTCAGATTCAGGAAGGATATAGGAAAGCACTGGTTTGGTAATAGTTGTGGATGAGTGGACCAAACTCTCAAGTACCATCATAGAAGCTAAGACATTGTGTAGTTTTAAAAATAGGTTGGATAAATACACGAGTGGGAGTGGGTGGATGAGAATTGGACCTGATTAGCTTGTGCTACAAGGTCAGATGCAATGCTCATCTCTTAAGTGAATGTGACTGACCTGACAAGGTTAAGGCACTGCTTTAAGCCGGTGGGAGAATTGGACCTGCCTCGCATAGGCCAGTAGGCCTGCTGCAGTGTTCTTTTTCTTATGTTCTTACGTCCTCTACCACCATTGAATTTATCGTGTTTCTCGCCTTCTTTATCAAAGGGCTGGCACTCGGAACTTTCTTTGGCCCCATGGTGGCTTATTTAGCAGTCACACTCAATAAGCAAGCACAAAAAAAAAAATGGATTATTATAAAATGTTTCATATGAATGAGCAGGGCAATGTTCACTTGACGAGAAACAGAGCCAGACTCAGAATGCGTGCGTGGGATGCTTTGTGGGCACGGCAGACGGACCCGTTCTGTACGGCAGACGAAAACCAAGGTGATGAACGAAAACTAGGACAATATTTTGACAAAGAGAGTTGAAAACCAAGGCAAACAAAAACCAAGGTTCCACTGTAATTCTATCATCTGTACTTCATCCAAACACTTTCAGACAACACAACTTTAATATTTCGTTCTTTTTCCTTTAAGAAATTGATACAGCAGTAGTAGTAACAGTCCCTTGCTCCCTGCATTTTAGTCAGCTACAATGCACAACTTATAATAGTTCTAATCCATTTCCCTATGAAATCTGGAAGGGAATAATACAAGGACAAGAAATACAGGTACCATCCGACTTATGACCAAGCTTGGTTCCGACCAACCGGTCGGAATGGACGCAAGTCGAACCTTACTACTGAATATCAACATCGCACTTTTGTAATGATTTTATTTTACTGTTTTATCTTGGTATTTCATTTTTTACTTTACTTTTTATGCTGTTAGTACTGTATTTTATACCATAAAGTTTAGGTTAAACATTGTGTACAACACAAACAGTTGTTTATTTCCCAGAAATTTGGCATAAAAAACATGGTCGTTAAGTCGAGTGGTCGTATGTCAAGCAGGTCGTAAGTCGGATGGTAGGTGTATTAAGAAATATATCAGAAAATTTTTACAAGTACATGTATGTACAACCTCATATACATACAGAAGTATACTGTATACTGGATGTAAAAAGTTGCAACATTTATGCTATCTTACATTCAGGAGACAATGAATAGACCAGCAATCCTGCCAGTTTAAATCATTTAACAAGTTCTTTCTACACACTCATTAAACTGGACAGCAGTACCTCGTGGATGGTTGTCGACTACTAACCTACTCTACATCAATCATACACCACGAATACACAATGGACAAAATTTTGTGATTTGCTTAAATCTTTATAGAAACTGTAGACAAAAATAATAAAACAATGGTGGCTGACCTGGCTCTTCTCAATAAAGTTGGAACATTGAGTGTTGAGGAAGATAATACTCTATTCAAGTTATCTTTCTTCTTTCCATCATCTTCCTTCTTGACACATTCCACATCCTTCGTATTTTTGGAGGATCTCACACCTGTGCAAGCTGGGCTTGACTCCATCCTCCGAATGTCATCCTCTTGCCTGAGTTGCTTGCGCAATGATGCACTGAAGCCATGAAAATATTCCAAACATTATTTTCATTAGGCTACTTGTGTTTAATGATAGTAAAACTTATAAAATATAAAGTACAGAATTATAAATGCTTTTTGCTAACCCGTATACAGATTGAAATATGCAAGGTATACAGTCGAACCCCGGTTTTAGTCAGGTCCGATTATCATACAATTCAGTTTTCGACCACTTTTTTTCGGCGAAATTTTCCCATTTTCATACATCCACTCGGAAATCATCCATACCAGACATGTCCACCTGCTCACGGGAAGCAGCCGCTCATACGTTCGTGACTCGGCCTGCCTTTGTTACTTGTTCAGTGAGCATGGTAAGGTGTTAGTGATGATGGTAGAGGGTGGTAGTAATGGTGGTGGTAGTGATGGTGGTGGTAGTGGTGGTGGTAGTGATGGTGGTGGTAGTGGTGGTGGTAGTGGTGGTGGTAGTGATGGTGGTAGTGATGGTGGTAGTGATGGTGGTAGAGAGGGTGGTAGAGAGGGTGGTAGAGAGGGTGGTAGAGAGGGTGGTAGAGAGGGTGGTAGAGAGGGTGGTAGAGAGGGTGGTAGAGAGGGTGGTAGAGAGGGTGGTAGTGATGGTGGTAGAGGGTGGTAGTGATGGTGGTAGAGATAACCTCTCCTCCCTCTTCCCTCCTCACTGTCTTCCATACGCCAACAAGAGTCTTCAATAAAGGTTAAAGTGATTTAAATGTTCATTTATTCATTTCATTAGTACTTTATATTTATTTCTCACTGTTTTCTCTATATAAAGCTATAGGTATTCTCTATAAAATGTATTTTTTGTTAATATTTTTGGGTGTCTGGAAAGGATTAATTGGATTTACTTGATTTTTTACGGGAAATATTACTTCAGATTTCGTACAAATCGGTTTTCGGCTGACTTTCTGGAACGGATTAAAGACAAAAACCGGGGTTCCACTGTACATTGTAGACGTGATGTTTCAGCGAGAAGTCTCTCACCTTATGTCAATTTGGTATTATGCAATGTCCCATTTCTACTGACAATTCTGTATGCAATATATATATGCACCATACCCAGGGATTGGCGGAGAGCGTATATAGTCCCTTTATATAAAGGGAAGGGAGATAAGAGATTGTAAAAATTATAAAGGAATAAGTTTACTGAGTATACCAGGAAAAGTGTACGGTAGGGTTATTATTGAAAAAATTAGAGGCAAGACAGAATGTAGGATTGCGGATGAGCAAGGAGGTTTTAGAGTGGGTAGGGGATGTGTAGATCAAGTGTTTACATTGAAGCATATATGTGAGCAGTATTTAGATAAAGGCAGGGAAGTTTTTATTGCATTTATGGATTTAGAATAGGCATATGATAGAGTGGATAGGGAAGCAAGTATATAGAATAGGTGGTAAGTTACTAAATGCTGTAAAGAGTTTATGAGGATAGTGAGGCTCAGGTTAAGGTGTGTAGAAGAGAGGGAGACTACTTCCCGGTAAAAGTAGGTCTTAGACAGGGATGTGTAATGTCACCATGGTTGTTTAATATATTTATAGAATTTATAGATGGGGTTGTAAAAGAAGCAAATGCTAGGGTGTTCGGGAGAGGGGTGGGATTAAATTATGGGGAATTAAATACAAAATGGGAAGTGACACAGTTACTTTTTGCTGATGATACTGTGCTTATGGGAGATTCTAAAGAAAAATTGCAAAGATTAGTGGACGAATTTGGTAGTGTGTGTAAAGGTAGTAAGTCGAAAGTGAACATAGAAAAGAGCAAGGTGATGAGAGTATCAAATGATTTAGATAAAGAAAAATTGGATATCAAATTGGGGAGGAGGAATATGGAAGAAGTGAATGTTTTCAGATATTTGGGAGTTGACGTGTCAGCAGATGGATTTATGAAGGATGAGGTTAATCATAGAATTGATGAAGGAAAAAAGGCAAGTGGTGCATTGAGGTATATGTGGAGGAAAAAAATGTTATCTATGGAAGCAAAGAAGGGAATGTATGAAAGTAAAGTAGTACCAACACTCTTATATGGGTGTGAAACTTGGGTTGTAAATGCTGCAGCGAGGAGGCGGTTGGAGGCAGTGGAGATGTCCTGTCTAAGGGCAATGTGTGGTGTAATTATTATGCAGAAAATTCGTAGTGTGGAAATTAGGAGGTGTGGAGTTAATAAAAGTATTACTGTAGAGGGCTGAAGAGGGTTTGTTGAGGTGGTTTAGTCATTTAGAGAGAATGGATCAAAGTAGAATGACATGAGTGTATAAATCTGTAGGAGAAGGAAGGCAGGGTAGGGGTTGTCCTCAAAAATGTTGGAGGGACGGGGTAAAGGAGGTGTTGTGGGCGAGGGGTTTGGACTTCCAGCGTGTGTGAGTATGTTAGATAGGAGTGAATGGAGACAAATGGTATTTTGGACCCAACGAGCCGTTGGAGTGTGAGCAGTATAATACTATTTAGTGAAAGGATTCAGGGAAACTGGTTATTTTATATAACTGGACTTGAGTCCTGGAAATGGGAAGTACAATGCCTGCAATCTAAAAGGAGGGGTTTGGGATATTGGCAGTTTGGAGGGATATACGTATTGTGCATTTTTATACATATATGCTTCTAAACTGTTATGTTCTGGGCATCTCTGCAAAAACAATGATTATGTGTGAGTGAGGTGAAAGTGTTAAATGATGAAAGTATATTTTCTTTTTGGGGATTTTCTTTCGTTTTGGGTCACCCTGCCTTGGTGGGAGACAGCTGACTTGTTGGAAAAAAAAAATTATTACTAATATGGCATCTTGAGACATAAGACACTTAGTGATTTTAATGTGTACCTGCACATCAATACAGTGTGTAAGTTTATTTAGGTACAAGTATACATAAGTATAATTTTCAGTATATATAAAATATGAAATAACTTTTAAAGGCACTTGAAATTTTGGAGTTTCCAGGTACAATTGGGAGATGTGGTGCTTATGGAGCTCATGGAAAATGTAAACAAACCAGCTGGGGCACGGTGACCACATTAAAAAGTCAGGTGGGGGGAGCCATATAGCGAATTTTGGTCATAATTTGAAATGTCCACATTAGCGGAAGTCTGTAAAGTGGGGCCCTGCTGTATTAATACTTTGAAAATACACCTATTATAGTGTACAGTATAAGAATGTACACACCTGCTGCACAGTTGTTTACAGTGGTAGTATAAAGGCTGCAACAGTCTTTAATGAGGAGAACCATAATGAGTCATTTGATACTTTACATTTAAATGATTGGTTGTACCTGTGGATGATTCCAAGAGTGGTTTAACCCTCTTAGCCTGGCCTGGGTCAGACATCATTACTGACTGCCTCATCAACCTGACTGTAGCTATTAATATCACTTAGGCTGACCAAGCCACCACATCCTGGCTGATCTAACACTTAATTAGTAGGAACCTAATGACTATTTACTGTCAGGTGAACAGTTGTGCTGTATGGTCACATACTGTTCATACAACCAGGCTATGGAGGTGCAAGAACATGTAAAACCAGCTCTAGTTACCCATTCCTTTTACTTGTCTCCCACAATGAGACTACTACTTGTCTTCAGTGACAAGATTGAAGTTGTTTAAATGAGAGACTTAAATGAAAAGAAAAAGAAAACATGATCAGTGAGGTGTGTATGTTAAGTTTCTTATCATACAAACTTATGAGAGTTGATGGCATGAAAGAGACAGGAATATTCACATGACAAGTTACTGGAACAGAACTATGAAAAAGTATTATACTAAATATAATTGCTAGGGAGGAGGAAGAATAAAGGTTTGCTTTTGAGAGCACAGTATAAACTTAAGATTACTGTACTATAAATTACTTCTATAAAACAGCAATAAATTAGGAAAAGAAAACAAGTCGCCCCTGAACCATATAGCCATTCATTAACCCTTTTATTGTCCAGACCCCTGAAATTGTTAGTGAAGGCAATGACAAAAAATACAAACTATAGAGAAAAACTTATAAAATTATGGAGGTACAAAGTCAGCAGTCTTGGAGAAATTTATGTAGCAGTGATTATTTTGCCCAGCGAGTCCTATTTTAAACCAATTCCATTGTTATATTCAACCAAACGCTTAGTTATCTTGCTAGTGTGCCTTCTGTTCTACTGAGCACAATAAACCACTCATTCAACTATTAGAACTACCCCATAAAGTACACAGAAGTAATTTGGGCAGTTTTACAAAAATTAAAAATTACAATTAAAAAATAGAGTCCAAAATTTACAATGCAGACATTCCAGGCACTAAAATGACATTTCTTCTGTGCCTTCCATTTGAAGATCTACCCTATTTCTCAGATGATCAAATATAACCAAGCATGACTGGCCATGGTTTACAGCATCCTAACTGAATCCGACCTATTAAAAACCCATAAAACAGAAAGAAGTGTAGGGAAAACCAGCAAAAAATCGAACATGTCTGCTACTTGAAGCCCAATTTTAAAGACACTGATTGCGAAATATGTGGAACATCTCACGTATCACATACAAAGCTTAATTCAGCCATGAGAAATGACCTAAAACAGGGAAGATTTTTCTGGATTTGCCCCAGTGAGATGGAAAGTTGGTCAGGCACAAGGGAAATACTGAAAAGCAAAAACCTAGGAAGTCTAAGAAAGTTCCTTAGGAGCTTGCCAGATATATATAAAGAGTGGAGAAAAAAGGGTAGGGAACAGGGAAAGAGGGGAAAATAAAGGCAAGGACCAAGGAGCTGAAATAAGGGTGAAGACAAGTCATTCAGGGTAAGTCAGAAAAGAAAAAGAAAAAGAAGGGGGAAAGGGTACACAACACTGAGAAAAGGGAAAGAAAGAGAAATCTATAGCAGGAAAACACAAAACAGAACAACCAGAAGAAATGTGCTTAGACTAAAGAAAACAAGAGAATGCAGAGCACTTGGCAGAAAGTGGGAAGAAGTCAAACTCGTTAAGTGTAGGCAGGAAATCTGCAAATATTATGCATATGGAATGTGCCTATGTGGGAGAATGTGCTGGTATAAACACAAAAGAAAATGTTCGAACATGTTGAGAAAGAGAAAGTGTCATTTTCACAAAGAATACAGGCACTTCCATCCAGTGATGTGCAAAGCTTCAACACGGTTCAGAGAATGTTATGAGCTGAGCTGTCCAGATCACCATGTAAAAGGAACGTGGTGCTACAGAGAAAACAGGGGAATGAAAAATGATAGATGATAATAAACACTCAGAAAATCCTAGAGGGACTAGTCCCAAATCTGCACATGGAAATCACTCCCTACAAAAGCAAAAGACTTGGCACACAGTGCATCATCATCCCCCCCCCCCCAGTGAAAAGCAGGGGTGCCATGAGTATGCTAAGAGACAACACAATAAGTGTCAGGGGCCCAAGATTGTTCAACTGCCTTCTACCATACATAAGGGGGGATTATCAATAGACCCCTGGCTGTCTTCAAGAGGGAGCTGGACAGGCACCTAAAGTCAGTTCCTGACCAGTTGGGCTGTGGTTTTATGTAGGTTTGTGTGAAGCCAGCAGTAACAGCCTGGTTGAACAGGCCCTGATCCACCACGAAGCCTGGACATGGACCGGGCCTCGGGGGCAATGACCCCCCAAAGCACCCTCCAGGTATGAACAGTAAATATCCGAAACCACTCCTTTAGCATGCAGACACTGATATTTAATTCAAAAAAGCTTTAGAATTCAGATTTTTTGAGAAATTGTACATTTGGAGTTTTCTTGATTTCGAGCACTCCTAAGTATGAATTACTGTAATATGCTCAATGATAATGGTAAAAATAGTAATTACTGGGATTCTGTTATTCTCGAGTTCCTGTTCTTTCAAAAAAATTCTCTCTCTCACACACACACACACACACACACACACACACACACACACACACACACACACACACACACACACACACACACACACACAAGTGCAACAATAAAAAAAAGAGAATAAAGATTATATTCAAAAAAGATAGTATGACCATGAGGATCATGTGTTTTAGAGGAGAGATGTGTTTTTAACTGCAACTATAAACATTAACAAATTCCTAACTCTTAAACCCTAGTTAAGTCACAAATCAGTAATTCACTCTTCTTATACTGTAAAAATAGAAAAATGCTAACTTATTATTGTGGAGAGTACATTTCATGGCAACAACAATCACCAAAAAAATTTGTCTGAAAATTTCAATAATTTCTGTAGTTATTCTTTCAGGAAACCAAAAACTAATGTTCTGAAAGGATAATTAGTAACACCACAAAATCAACTGTCATCTCCATATAACATGCTGAAATTTATCAGGTGCGCTAACCTTGGTGCATTAGTTAGCGTGTTCTTGGTAATGGATGACCGCAGAGTGCGGTTGACCCTCATACTTGCACCTCTTGCAAAACATGGCATTGGAGACGGTACAGCATGAGAGGGTGTGGTCCCTCGAGAATCTGATGCATGTAATATGGTTGTTGCAGGTGTGCGTGGAGTGGTGAGGGCAATACTAGATAAGTGTGCTTTACTTCCTCTGAGCATCGATGGTGTAGTTGTAGCTGGTGTCCGAGGGGTTCCTGCAGGAGCTGTGCTGCACAAATTTGTTGGGGTCTTCAAGAAATGCGAACTGTCCGATTCGAGTAAAGAGTTAGAAGACGAAGTACGAAGTGGGGTCCTCAACCTAAAAACATTAACACTTTAAAATACATATGTAAATAATTTGTAAAATGCATTTCAGTGAGAGCAAGTTCTGAATAATTCAATTACAAACTATACTGCAATGCCTTGCACCTATCAATATCTGGTGTAAGCATTTTATTCAAGCAATAAAATGCTTAAAATCTAAATACCCAAAAGAAAGTTCCTCCACTATACAACTTAAAGGACATCAAAGATACTGATGGCTTGCCAGATAAAAATATTTAACCTCTTATTTTTACACCAAACACTATAAAAAAATGGAAAAAAATTAATGCTTAGCCCTTTTACACAGTCTAGTAGCTTCAAATTTGGTCGAAGAGCCTGGTAGGCCTAAATATGAGAGAATAGGTCTGTACAGTCAGTGTGCATAGTACACAAAAAATTGGGGCATCCACAGTGCCATCTCAGTAAACTAGTGTTCATCATGATGTGCAGATACAAAGGCCTCACTCCCAGGTGAGCTCAAAGGGCATTAATGCTCAGTGAAAACCAAAGATTACAGAACTTAGAATGAGTTTTTTGGTTTTGAACATTAATAACGAAATGTGATGCACAGGATGCCAGAAAAAGCGCTACAAATCCCAATGACTCGCAACCATCCACATCTGGGGCCTGGTTCATCCAGAATACATCTAACATGCCTTAAGCAAAGGCTCATTCTCCAGTGGCTTGGCACAGATGTGAGAAATGGTTATGACAGTTATATGGACATTGATTTCTTAATAATCTATGACTAGTCCAGTGATGAAAATTATTCACCTTTGAAGCATCAATATACATGGCACTGCACACGATCTGGTAGCATGCCCATTGGTATCCCCAGGAGAGACAGTACATCCCAGGACCCAACAACAGTGACAGTGAGGATGATGGTACTTTGACTGGCATGGGTAGTGGGTCGCAGGCAATGCCGGCACTGCGTGCAGCAGTGCCTGATGAGAAAAACATGCAGCGCCGATGCCAGGACAGGCTGGGAGTCATGCCCCACACCCCAGTGACCCATGACCACACCCACCACCACCACACAACCAACCACAAATATCCAGCAACCACACCCAGACCACATCTGACAACATACAGTGGAATCCAGCTCAACTGTACTCTGGGAAATGATGCCACTGAATTTAAATTCTTTGAACTATATGTCAATGACCTTTTAATGAAAATTGTAGTGAGCAGAAACCAACACACTTTAGTATACATGTTGGTTTCACCACAATCTTGGCAACACCAGTGGAGAGAGAGAACTGTGGCTAAGATTTCTCTCTTCTTTGCCATAATAATGCTTATGCCACTTGGGTATAAGCACAATATTCAATCATAGTGGTCAACTAACCTCCTTGTATGTAGCCCAACATTCAGTGATCTTATCAATCAACAGATTTATCCTATTGCTATGTATGCCACACTTCCCTGACAAGACAAGGCCTGACAGGAACGACAAGTTATACAAGACTAGGGATGGCTTGTTTATCTGAAACAGAAGCTCAGTGTGTTTTTATCCCTTCAGGAACTTTATCATCGACAAGTCTTAGATCCTTTCCAAAGGAAGACTCATTCAAGCAGTAAACAGCCTCTCCTCACTTAAAGTCAGTGTTGCATTCCTAATATGTTGGTAAACAAATTCATCGCTAAGCGAGGAGCATACTACAATGGTGGTGGGTTTGTGTCACCCATCTTTGATATTGTTTTAATGTCACCTGTGCACCATTTATAACAATTTTAGTATATTTTTATATGTTTATACAGTAGTGTACTGTATACTGTAATAAACAGAATAGAGGAAATCAGCTCTAATATACATTATTTAGGTATGCATACTAATCAGAGCCCATTGTAAGTCCAAGTCGTTGATAAACGAGTACATCACTAAGTGAGGAGAGGCTGTAATGTTAATCATAGTGTTTAGTTGGACATTATTTGCTCTGCTCCCAAACATAATGTAGAAGATTTTGTGAATGTTAGGTATTTACATTGGTCCAATCCACTCCTCCTTTCAGTGGCTCCTTGCTCCATCTTATCGTTATACAGTGGAACCTCGGTTTTTGTATGCCCCAGTCTTTGTAGGATTCGGTTTTCAATGACTTTTTTAGACAAAATTTTGTCCCAGTTTTCGTACATCCGCTCAGTTTTCATAGAGTTGAAAATGGTCCATACCAAACTTGTCTGCATGTTTATATGCTATGGAACATGTTTCTTATGTACAGTGGACCCCCAGTTATCAGCTGTTCCTGTTATCAGTCAACTTGGTTATAGGCCAGTTTTCGGCTTCTGGTTATCGGCCATTATTTCACTTATCAGCTGTATGAGATGCTGGGACGCGTCAACCTACCCACCACCACTCCCGCCAGTTTGGCTGTGCCTCTGGTAGAGACGTGTAAATTCTAGCGCCCTTAAATCAATCTGGAAAAGGCTGGTAGGCTTACATGTGACAGAATGGGTCTACATGGTAAGTGTGCGCAGTAAGAAAAAATCTAACCACCCGCATTGCATTATTTGTGGGAGTGGTAACTCAATGTGCCTTTGTCACTAAGTCAAGCGGTAAGGAATACCTCACTCTCCAGCAGTGTGGGTGGTGGGGAAGGCAGTGTGGAAGGGAGCATGGGTTTGTGTGAACAACATGGCTGTCTGGCTGGCCAGCTGGCTGTGTCTCATAGGTACACAAATACAATTCTTTCTTTCTTTCAACACACCAGCCGTATCCCACCGAGGCGGGGTGGCCCAAAAGGAAAAACAAAAGTTTCTCCTTTCACATTTAGTAATATATACAGGAGAAGGGGTTACTAGCCCCTTGCTCCTGGCATTTTAGTCGCCTCTTACAACACGCATAGCTTACGGAGGAAGAATTCTGTTCCACTTCCCCATGGAGATAAGAGGAAATAAACAAGAACAAGAGCTAGTAAGAAAATAGAAGAAAACCCAGAGGGGTGTGTATACATATGCTTGTACATGTATGTGTAGTGTGACCTAAGTGTAAGCAGAAGTAGCAAGACGTACCTGAAACCTTGCATGCTTATGAGACAGAAAAAACACCAGCAATCCTACCATCATGTAAAACAATTACAGGCTTACGTTTTACACTCACTTGGCAGGACGGTAGTACCTCCCTGGGTGGTTGCTGTCTACCAACCTACTACCTATACAAATACAATTATACAGTGTAAATTACCTAGGATAACCCAAAAAACATCCAGACAAAGTGCTATACTGTGCTTGTAGATAGTGGTCATGTGTAATACCAGTTGGTTCATGAGCAATTCTGAGACGAGAGAGACAAGCAGACAAAGATTGAGAGAGACAGGCAGGCAGGCAGGCAGGCAGGCAGGCAGGCGGGGGCAGGCACAGGCACAGGCACAGGCACAGGCACAGGCACACATCATAGCTCTCACAGAAACCAAGCTTACAGGTATGATAACAGATGCCATCTTTCCAACGGGATACCAAATCCTGAGGAAAGACAGAGGGAACAGGGGGGGTGGAGGAGTGGCGTTGCTGATCAAAAATCGCTGGAATTTTGACGAGCTGGAGAGAGGAGACAGCGGAGAAGAAAGTGATTACATAGCGGGAACACTTCACTCTGGAGGTCCCAAGGTGGTAATAGCAGTGATGTATAACCCACCACAGAACAGCAGGAGGCCAAGGCAAGAGTACGACGAGAGCAATAGAGCGATGGTTGACACACTGGCTAGAGTGGCCAGAAGAGCTCATGCATGCAGGGCAAAGCTCCTGATCATGGGTGACTTTAACCACAAGGAGATCGATTGGGAGAACTTGGACCCACATGGGGGCCAAGATACATGGAGGCTAAGATGATGGAGGTGGTACTGGAAAACTTCATGTGCCAACACGTAAGGGACACTACAAGAGAGAGAGGAGAGGATGAACCAGCAAGGCTGGACTTAGTATTCACCTTGAGTAGTGCAATATCGAGGACATCACATATGAAAGACCCCTTGGGGCCAGTGACCATGTGGTTTTAAGCTTCGAATACACAGTAGAGCTACAAGTGGAGGGAGAAGCAGGAAGGCCAGGACGAATGAAGCCAAACTACAAGAAAGGGGACTACACAGGAATGAGGAACTACCTGAACGGGGTTCAGTGGGACAGAGAACTGGCAGGGAAGCCAGTTAATGAGATGATGGAATATGTAGCAACAAAATGCAAGGAGGCTGAGGAGAGGTTTGTACCCAAGGGTAACAGGAATAATGAAAAAGCCAGGATGAGCCCATGGTTTACCCAAAGGTGCAGGGAGGCAAAAACCAAGTGTGCTAGGGAATGGAAGAAATATAGAAGGCAAAGGACCCAGGAGAATAAGGACAACAGTCGTAAAGCCAGAAGCGAATATGCACAGATAAGAAGGGAGGCCCAAAGACAATATGAAAATGACATAGCAGCGAAAGCCAAATCTGACCCAAAACTGTTGTACAGCCACATCAGGAGGAAAACAACAGTCAAGGACCAGGTAATCAGGCTAAGGAAGGAAGGAGGAGAGACAAAAAATGACCGTGAAGTATGTGAAGAACTCAACAAGAGATTCAAAGAAGTGTTCACAGAGGAGACAGAAGGGACTCCAGAAAGACGGAGAGGTGGGGCACACCACCAAGTGCTGGACACAGTGCACACAACCGAGGAAGAAGTGAAGAGGCTTCTGAGTGAGCTAGATACCTCAAAGGCAATGGGGCCAGATAACATCTCCCCATGGGTATTGAGAGAGGGAGCAGAGGCGCTATGTGTACCCCTAACAACAATATTCAATACATCTATCGAAACAGGGAGATTGCCTGAGGCATGGAAGACAGCAAGTGTAGTCCCAATCTTTAAAAAAAGGAGACAGACATGAAGCATTAAACTACAGACCAGTGTCACTGACATGTATAGTATGCAAAATCATGGAGAAGATTATCAGGAGAAGAGTGGTGGAACACCTAGAAAGGAACGATCTCATCAACAGCAGCCAACATGGTTTCAGGGACAGGAAAT